CGGGGCCGTGTGACGTGTGACGGGGCCGTGTGACGGGGCCGCATGTCCTGTATTCTATGCAATAAAATAAAAATAAGATATAGAATTTTGATATGTGATGTCCATATCCCAAAAGATGAGGCAGTTTCTGAGATTCTGAGCAAGGGAAAGTTACCGTTAGTATACACGCAGGCATATCAATTATCAATCGATGGTGCTATATATATATATATATATATGAATCGTATGAAATCGCTAACATTTTCCGTTCTTGTGGACATCTTCATGACAACTTCACCGATTTCATACGATTTTGTTTGCCATGTTGATATTTTGATTTTCACTATATACGATACACAAAGCTTTTATCTTTTTTGAATTATATATATATATAAGAGCTGAACTGATTAGCATGTTTATTTATCAAAACATGTTTAGATTAACTTATAAAGTATAAGAACAACAGAGCGAAGGAGATGACAGCGTGACACATGTAATGTCGATAGACTGGCATCTCGTGACGACATGTCACTTTGAGATTAGAGAAGTACCACAAAATAAGATTGAGTACAGCAATTATATTGTACGGAGTAATGTAACTTTATTGTACTGAGTACTGACATTTTACAGTACTGAGTACTGACATTTTACAGTACTGAACATTTTACAGTACTGAGTACAGTAACGTTAGTGTACTAAGTACAGACATTTTACAGTACTGAGTACAGTAACTATATTGTACTGAGTACTGACATTTTACAGTACTGAGTACAGACATTTTACAGTACTGAGTACAGACATTTTACAGTACTGAGTACAGACATTTTACAGAACTGAGTACAGACATTATACAGTACTGAGTACAGACATTTTACAGTACTGAGTAATGTAACTTTATTGTACTGAGTACAGACATTTTACAGTACTGAGTACAGACATTTTACAGTACTGAGTACAGACATTTTACAGTACTGAACATTTTACAGTACTGAACATTTTACAGTACTGAGTAATGCAACTTTATTGTACTGAGTACTGACATTTCACAGTACTGAGTACAGACATTTTACAGTACTGAGTACTGACATTTTACAGTACTGAGTACTGACATTTTACAGTACTGAACATTTTACAGTACTGAGTACAGACATTTTACAGTACTGAACATTTTACAGTACTGAGTACAGTAACGTTAGTGTACAAAGTACAGACATTTTACAGTACTGAGTACAGTAACTATATTGTACTGAGTACAGACATTTTACAGTACTGAGTACAGCAATTATATTGTACTGAGTACAGCAATTATATTGTTCTGAGTAATGTAACTTTATTGTACTGAGTACTGACATTTTACAGTACTGAGTACAGACATTTTGCAGTACTGAGTACTGACATTTTACAGTACTGAAAATTTTACAGTACTGAGTACAGTAACTTTATTGTACTGAGTACAGACATTTTACAGTACTGAGTACAGATATTATACAGTACTGAGTACAGACATTTTACAGTACTGAGTAATGTAACTTTATTGTACTGAGTACAGACATTTTACAGTACTTAGTACTGAGTACAGTAACTATATTGTACTGAGTACAGACATTTTACAGTACTGAGTACAGACATTTTACAGTACTGAGTACAGACATTTTACAGTACTGAGTACAGTAACTATATTGTACTGAGTACAGACATTTTACAGTACTGAGTACTGACATTTTACAGTACTGAGTACAGTAACTATATTGTACTGAGTACAGACATTTTACAGTACTGAGTACTGACATTTTACAGTACTGAGTACAGTAACTTTATTGTACTGAGTACAGACATTTTACAGTACTGAGTACAGATATTGTACAGTACTAAGTACAGACATTTTACAGTACTGAGTACAGACATTTTACAGTACTGAGTACAGACATTTTACAGTACTGAGTACAGTAACTATATTGTACTGAGTACAGACATTTTACAGTACTGAGTACAGTAACTATATTGTACTGAGTACAGACATTTCACAGTATTGAGTACAGATGCTATATATTACAGAGTATAGACAGTATGTGGTATTTAGGCATTTTGTTGTACCGAGTACAAACATTTTTTATTATATTGAGTACTGAGTATGTAGTGACTACAGACACGTCATAGTACCGAGCACAAATAATATATAGTACTGGGTAAAGACACGTCATAGTACCGATCACACGTAATATATAGTACTGGGTAAAGACACTTTATAGTAGGGAATACAGACACTTTTTAATACCGAGCACAAATTATATATAGTACTGGGTTAAGACACTTTATGGTAAGGAATACAGACACTATTATACTGAGCAGTGACAATTTATAGTACTGTATAGTATGGAGTACTGACTTGTAGTACTGGTTAGTACTTGTTTACACAGACATGTTATACATAAATACCTTCCTGGCGTGATAGTAAATATTGGTCACAAAATAGCAAAAACTCCTAATTACACGTGTAACCCTAAGTTGACACTGGTTTTTTTAGTTAATGTGATCTTGTATTTTTGCATTATTTTTCAGATGAAAAATTATTACAAAGACTCTCTATGGCTGCTGCTGATGTCAATGGTGTTCGGTGAGTATGTAGAATGTGTGAAGAAGGTAGAATGTAGTCATATACCCAAAACAACATTATTGGATGAGTTAATTAGAATTATGACAAAGGTATTGAGAAAGGGGAATAGGGAATGTAGGGCGAGTGTATTCGTACAACAATAGGAGAATGTGAAGACAGTATGTAGCACGAATATATGAAGATATAATGGAATGTACAAATGTGACGAGAATGTGTAGGACGAGTGTATTAAGATATTATGGAGTACAGAAATGTGAAGATAAGGTGAAGGACGAGTGTATTAAGATATGATGGAGTATAGAAATGTGAAGATAAGGTGAAGGACGAGTGTATAAGATATTATGGAGTATAGAAATGTGAAATGTATGTAGGACGAGTGTATTAAGATATTATGGAGTATAGAAATGTGAAGATAAGGTGAAGGACGAGTGTATTAAGATATGATGGAGTATAGAAATGTGAAGATAAGGTGAAGGACGAGTGTATAAGATATTATGGAGTATAGAAATGTGAAATGTATGTAGGACGAGTGTATTAAGATATTATGGAGTATAGAAATGTGAAGATAAGGTGAAGGACGAGTGTATAAGATATGATGGAGTATAGAAATGTGAAGATAAGGTGAAGGACGAGTGTATTAAGATATTATGGAGTATAGAAATGTGAAGATAAGGTGAAGGACGAGTGTATTAAGATATTATGGAGTATAGAAATGTGAAGATAAGGTGAAGGACGAGTGTATTAAGATATGATGGAGTATAGAAATGTGAAGATAAGGTGAAGGACGAGTGTATAAGATATTATGGAGTATAGAAATGTGAAGATAAGGTGAAGGGCGAGTGTATAAGATATTATGGAGTATAGAAATGTGAAGATAAGGTGAAGGACGAGTGTATAAGATATGATGGAGTATAGAAATGTGAAGATAAGGTGAAGGACGAGTGTATTAAGATATGGAGTATAGAAATGTGAAGATAAGGTGAAGGACGAGTGTATAAGATATGATGGAGTATAGAAATGTGAAGATAAGGTGAAGGACGAGTGTATTAAGATATGATGGAGTATAGAAATGTGAAGATAAGGTGAAGGACGAGTGTATAAGATATGATGGAGTATAGAAATGTGAAGATAAGGTGAAGAGCAGAATGTTATACCTAAGAATTTCTGCCAGCGGAATATATAAGTGTGTGCATATACATATACATGTATATGGTATTGATACTCTTTCTGATGGGAAATGTTTCTTTAACTGTCACATGGAATTAAAAATAAAATAAAAAAATTAAGAATAAAAAAGGTTAAATGTCCAATCAACAAAAGCGTAATTTGATTCACATCAGAAGGTAGCTCCAACAGTGGAAGATGAAAACCCCCCAAACTACAGACACTAGACAGTTCAGCATGAATACTGAAAATATGACCTTTTCTTGTTATAGAAGCTATCACTATGTGAATATTATGAAAATCTTGTTTACATGTGTATGGTGCAGTTTGTATCAGCTGGTATACTACACACTTTTCTTGGAATTAATTGGATTTAGCTTATTCACTAATGATGTTTTGACATGTCAAGTTTTAATTAAATCTGCTTTCTCAAAACAGGTCTGTCTGATATTGTATTTGTTTTACAGTTTTCTAGTGAATCACGTATAAGACAGCTTCAGGTAACAAATAGAACAGTTACAGGTAACATCAAAAACAGTTACAGGTAACATATAGAACAGTTACAGGTAAAATATAGAACAGTTACAGGTAACATATAGAACATTTACAGGTAACATATAGAACATTTACAGGTAACATATAGAACAGTTACAGGTAACATATAGAACAGTTACAGGTAACATATAGAACAGTTACAGGTAACATATAGAACAGTTACAGGTAACATATAGAACATTTACAGGTAACATATAGAACTGTTACAGGTAACATATAGAACAGTTACAGGTAACATATAGAACATAACAGTTACAGGTAACATATAGAACATTTACAGGTAACATATAGAACTGTTACAGGTAACATATAGAACAGTTACAGGTAACATATAGAACATTTACAGGTAACATATAGAACTGTTAAGGTAACATATAGAACATTTACAGGTAACATATAGAACTGTTACAGGTAACATATAGAACAGTTACAGGTAACATATAGAACAGTTACAGGTAACAAATAGAACAGTTACAGGTAACATCAAAAACAGTTACAGGTAACATATAGAACAGTTACAGGTAACATATAGAGAGGACATATAGAACATTTACAGGTAACATATATAACATTTACAGGTAAAATATAGAACAGTTACAGGTAACATAAATAACAGTTACAGGTAACATATAGAACATTTACAGGTAACATCAAAAACATTTACAGGTAACATCAAAAACATTTACAGGTTATATATAGAACAATTATAGGTAAGAAATAGAACCGCTACAGGTATCGTATAGAGCAATTACAGGTTACATATAGAACAGTTACAGGTATCAAATAGAACAGTTACAGGTAACATATAGAACCGTTACAGGTAACATATAGAACAGTTACAGGTTACATCTAGAACAGTTACAGCTAACATATAGAACAGCTACATGTTATATATAGAACAATCATAGGTAAGAAATAGAACCGTTACAGGTATCGTATAGAGCAATTACAGGTAACATATAGAACAGTTACAGGTTCAGAAATGTGAAGAAAGTATTTGGAATACGGAATAATCTTCCCCGAGGGCTAAGACTCCTCTCTCTTATTTACAAAAGCCAACTTCATTTCCTTTTTACTTATGTTACTATAGCATATTCTATGTAATGTCGGCGTTACGGGGTCAACGCTTCGTTTATGTGACGTTAACGTCCAGGGTTAAGGAACAATCAGTGAAGGACAGGGGCCGATCAGTAAAGGAAAACCAACAGTTTGTCTTTCCTTAGGGAAAAATAAGTTCGTCTTCAACGTTTTTTTCTAGAAACGTCGTAACCATGTCACAATCGGAAAACGCACAATTCATGTACCATTTAACGACATCGCGATGGATTCAGTTGACCTCAAAAACCTTATAAGAAGTAACGATAGGAAACGTTTTTGAGATAGTAATCAATCACTTCAGTGTGAACAGACAGAGAAACATTGACCAGACTTACATAAACACGTCGCTTATTTAGTCCGACGTTATACTTTATAAATATAGCCTCGAAAATTGATATTTGCATGCATCACACAGAATAAATCATTCGTGATTCTGATAGAGGAAATCTGGCACACATTACCCATTGCTAGATTTTTCAGCATTGTCTAATCTACCTTGTACTTTTACGTAATATTAGGCGTGGCAACATCATAATCATACCTAGTTGTCTTTCTGGCGCACCATCCACGAGGAAGATATTTCAGGTGTGAATCAAAGAGTTTAGAAATAAGAAATAGGCACTACCCAGCAGGCAATGTACCTTTAGCTGTCCTAACATATATCTTGGTAGGTTCTTATAACAACGTCACTTAATTGTGACCTGTTTAGTAACATGGTATAGGTTTGGAATCTTAAATTTAAACCGGAGATTAGGCGAATCGATTGTACACAGAAACCTGGACGTGGTTTCATCCTGATTTGTTAAGTCGTACACAGAAACCTGGACGTGGTTTCATCCTGATTTGTTAAGTCGTACACAGAAACCTGGACGTGGTTTCATCCTGATTTGTTAAGTCGTACACAGAAACCTGGACGTGGTTTCATCCTGATTTGTTAAGTGTGGAACAAAGTACTTTTTAAACCATTAATATGTCGAACTAGTAATGACTTAGCACTTTGTTGCTTATACTATAGACAGAGGATTTTTTTTTATCTAACAATGAGTTTGTTTACATTAATTAGTCAATTTGTTTGTTCTTTACACAATATCATAGGGTGTTTGTTATGAAGAGATGATAAAAAAGGCCAAAAGGTTCGCTACGTCTGTCTTTTTTCGCCCTCACCAAAAGACACTGACTAGGAAGTCTATTCAGACATTTTTTGTTCAAACTGATTATCATATTATCATAGTGTTTTATTTCTTTATAATTTCCTAAATAAGCTCCTTCAGTTAGCAAGTAAACGTAACCTACAATTTCTATAGTTAGATATACCTTTAGTACAATATTTGAATAATTAAGAAAATAATTCCGAAGAATGCATGCAGGTGTTAAAATACAGTAGCTGTAGGGTAAGTCTGTATACGCAATTGTTGCACTGTTATGACGTCACATCATGATGTTAGCTGTGTCATACATATTAAAAGACGTCGTTGTAGCCCCTGGTAACTCGAGCAAGATTGTTTTCCTGTGGGGGAAAGTATGTACGTAACCCCGGTACAAAGCCGCAATAGTCCTTTAGCCCGATAGGTTAAACGTTAGACAAGTGAGTCACGGACGTCCTGGTTTCCAATCTTATCGGATGCATTGAAATCAGGCAGCCTTGGATGTCAATTCCAAATACGTCAAGTAGTTTGTTTTTTGGTAAAGATAAAAGACTGTGATCATGAAATCGTGTTCTGAATAATCTTTCAAGATTCAGGTTTGTCTCGTGTACAGAGATCCTAGTTTCTTGTCCGTAATGAAATTGTAACTTATCAAAAAAAATTCATACTATATTTTAATGCATTATCATAAATTGTGACTTGTGTTTTAGTTGTCTCTTCCCCGGCAATCACAAACTGATTCTGTCTACATTGTAGAAAAGTAGTGACGCACACCTGTGAAAGTAAGTTGAATTAGCCCGTCTGACACACGTTCCTCTGTTTCTATTTCAGAGAGCTATGGGATGATGAGAAGAGTGTGCTACTATACTAATTGGGCTCAATATAGACCTAAGATTGGAAAGTATACTCCGGAAGATATAGACGATCGCTTGTGTTCTCACATAGTTTATTCATTTGCTAAACTTACAAATCATGCACTGACTCCATTTGAATGGAACGATGACTCTACGGATTGGTCAAAAGGAATGTGAGTATAATTTGTAGTGGTGAAAAGCAAGAACTTATATACATCTAATTCCGTGTGTGAATAACTGAATAATACTTAGTCGCTGTCATGATTTAATATGATTTTTTCAGGTTTGAGAAAGTCAATGACTTGAAAAAGGTAAACCCGGAATTAAAGACTCTGATAGCGGTTGGTGGATGGAATATGGGCTCAGAACCATTTACACAGATGGTCGAGAATCCCACCAATCGCCGCACGTTCATTACTTCTGCAATTGTGTTTATGAGATCACGTAACTTTGACGGCCTCGATCTGGACTGGGAGTACCCCGGCAACAGGGGCAGCCCGCCCGAGGACAAACAAAGGTTTACAAAGCTCGTCAAGGTAACGTGAGGTGTGCAGTAATGTCACGAGGTTCGTCCGTCTGTCAATTTTGTATATATACTTCTGTATATAAGTTTGTATTTTCCTCCATCCAGCATTTGTGCCAAGCGACCTATCTCAGCACTTACGTATCTCCTCTTCAAACCTGTCAAGTAGTGCTTTATGTTTCAAATGTCACAAAAGAACTAGTTTATACATGACATACAATTACATAAAATTACTTTATGATGAATATCATCGTCTAATCACTTTTCCAAACTTAAATATGCTCCAGGAATTATATGAAGAATTCCAGCAGGAGTCGCGAATCACAGGTAAACCACGTCTACTGCTCACGGCGGCGGTGGCGGCAGGCAAGGAAACCATTGACAAGGCTTACGAGATTGCCGAGATAGGGAGGTAATAACACTTACTGTTTATCAAATCCGCTGTCTGTGTTTTAATTAGACATTCTTGTCACCCAAATAGTAGATGGTATTTATAATTTCTTTATTGTGGCCGGTTGCATTGGATCGTGAGTGGTCTTATGTTGCACGATAACGATGATAACTTGGCAGAACTTCCCCCTCACTTTGGTTGAAGGGATTTGGACATGAGACTGGAGTAAATGTTGTTATATTAAATGGACATCAGAATCACGCGGTGGTTTTGTTTGTAGCGCTACAGACTCGTGGCGATGTTGGTGATTTTGTTTGTAGCGCTACAGACTCGTGGCGATGTTGGTGATTTTGTTTGTAGCGCTACAGACTCGTGGCGATGTTGGTGATTTTGTTTGTAGCGCTACAGACTCGTGGCGATGTAGGTGATTTTGTTTGTAGAGCTACAGACTCGTGGCGATGTTGGTGATTTTGGTTGTAGCGCTACAGACTCGTGGCGATGTCGGTGCTTTGGTTGAAGCGCTACAGACTCGTGGCGATGTTGGTGCTTTGGTTGTAGCGTTACAGACTCGTGGCGATGTCGGTGATTTTGATTGTAGCGCTACAGACTCGTGGCGATGTAGGTGATTTTGTTTGTAGCGCTACAGACTCGTGGCGATGTTGGTGATTTTGGTTGTAGCGCTACAGACTCGTGGCGATGTCGGTGATTTTGTTTGTAGCGCTACAGACTCGTGGCGATGTCGGTGATTTTGTTTGTAGCGCTACAGACTCGTGGCGATGTCGGTGATTTTGTTTGTAGCGCTACAGACTCGTGGCGATGTTGGTGATTTTGGTTGTAGCGTTACAGACTCGTGGCGATGTTGGTGATTTTGGTTGTAGCACTACAGACTCGTGGCGATGTTGATGATTTAGTTTGTAGCGCTACAGACTCGTGGCGATGTTGGTGCTTTGGTTGAAGCGCTACAGACTCGTGGCGATGTCGGTGATTTTGATTGTAGCGCTACAGACTCGTGGCGATGTAGGTGATTTTGTTTGTAGCGCTACAGACTCGTGGCGATGTTGGTGATTTTGTTTGTAGCGCTACAGACTCGTGGCGATGTCGTTGATTTTGGTTGTAGCGCTACAGACTCGTGGCGATGTCGGTGATTTTGGTTGTAGCGCTACAGACTCGTGGCGATGGCGGTGATTTTGGTTGTAGCGCTGCAGACTCGTGGCGATGTCGGTGATTTTGGTTGTAGCGCTGCAGACTCGTGGTGATGTCGGTGATTATGGTTGTAGCGCTACAGACTCGTGGCGATGTAGGTGATTTTGTTTGTAGCGCTACAGACTCGTGGCGATGTTGGTGGTTTTGGTTGTAGCGCTACAGACTCGTGGCGATGTTGGTGATTTTGGTTGTAGCGCTATAGACTCATGATGATTGTTGTTATATTTTATTAGAGATGACCTGGTACATTTTGTATGAACGACGGTAAATGCCGATACATTACATATTAAACACAGTTATTCATTCTGGAAAAACAAATGTTACAGTTACATGGATTTCATAAGTGTCATGACGTATGATCTCCACGGCGGTTGGGAGAAAAAGACAGGCCACAACAGCCCATTGTTTAAGGGGCGATGGGAGAGAGGAAACGACGCTTATCTCAATTTGGTGAGTCAACGTTGTATGTTTTATTTCAGCATATTCAGATAATTTGTGAAACAAAAAATGAACAGAGTTATATGTTAACTGACCGAATACACGTGTCTTGGTTGTGTTTTGTAGGCATGGGCCATAACCTACTGGTATAAAATGGGAGTTCCGAAACACAAGCTAAATGTTGGATTGGCCGTATATGGCCGTTCATTCACACTGAATGACCCCTCAAAGTATGGAGTTGGGGCCGCTGCAAAGAAAGGAAAGGGAGGCAATTTCACCCGTGAAGATGGCTTTCTGTCTTACTACGAGGTATGTGGTATCTAGGTACAGCATAACACGAACGGTCAACCAACCATCTGCGGTGTTTACATACAGAAACATATTTCGGATCTTCTAAAATACAGCCAGCTAATGAAATACACTAAAACTGAATGAACAAGCTGCTTGTTAGATATAGCTTTTTCGTTAAGACATCTTAATATACCTATATCTATATATGTAAATGTTGATGGACACGACACGTGGTTATTCTCAGATCTGTGCGAAGAGGAAGAAGGCCGGAGTGAGGACCTACCTGATCGAGGACCAAAAGGTGCCATACATTGTCGATGGGGACCAATGGATTGGTTATGACGACCCAGCCAGCCTCGTTGCCAAGGTACGTACACATGTATCTCTGGAGGCCTTCTGATAGACTACCAGATTTTCGTGAACATAGCTTTATTTTCTGTGACAGCACTCAGAATCAATTCTGAAATCCATTATAATTTTCAAATTAACATCAGGTGAGAAGAGGTACTTGTTTTTATTGGATTGTAACAATGGTTTGGTTTGGTAGTTTTATCTGAAGACTGTCAATAGAAACGTTCAAACTCAGGAGACGCTGTTATATTTGAAGAATAACGATGTACATATTTTGGATAATCGAAAAACTTGAAAGTAAAAGCATTTTCAATTTCCGGTTTTAATTGAACTTCGGTAAATTAAACTTCAAGAATGCTTAGACATATGGCAAACCTAATTCTCTGTAAGAACTTCTGACTTACTTAGGGTGTTGCTGTAATGTTAAGGAGTCATAAAAAAAGAAATCAAGCGAAATCTTCGTTAAAAACTGATGTTAAGCAAACTATTAATGTCTCTATACTTCAATACCCATATGATAAGACAGAATATCTGAATAGTTTTCTGTCTCTACTTCATCACAGGATCTTGATCGTCATAGAGGTTCTTATTCTATACTGCTATTAAAACAGTAGAAGTGGTTCGAAATAGAAGAATATTTTATTTCTAGAAAAGTAACTTGGCTTACAATATATTGCATCTAGATACTCCAAGTATTTTATGGAAAATGTTTACTTATGTCAGTGATGTCAGATTTAGGAATACGAAATCTTCTGTTTACAACAAGTTCTATATTCCTTCAGTTAGAACTAATTATTTCAAACGTTCATTTGTATACACATGTCCAATTTTACTAAATGGTAAGAATATCATAGCCAAGGGTAATAAAAGCTACTTGACTGTATAGTATTAAGATACTATCATCAAAATAACCAATAAATGATGATAATTTGTGATATTCTAAATTCTAACTAATATCGCTATTGTTGTATAAAAAACAACACTGACATTTCAGATGCGTTAAGATAAAATATAATAAATGATATAAATAAAAAGTGAATATAAAAATAATTCATACGTGTCATTGAAATAATGTTAAAATGTTAAAATAATATCATGATGTCCCGCCATGAGACAAACTATGGAAATTAAAAAGGACGAATTTCCATGTGCATGATTTGCTGCTTTTAACAAACAATACTTTTAAACAAAGATTTTAATGTTATGTCCAGTAACGATGAAACATGGTTGATATATTATAAGTTCGCCAATTGATTTGAAAGAAAGAATCCTCAAGTCCACTTGATACACAGTAGGCCTAGTGGGGCAGACACTCTGTCGGTTGGCAACAATATATTTTGTCTGATAATGTATTATGATACTGGTATCATTAGTAAAACTTAAGTGTTCCATCTTTTGTCTCTGCAAAGGGCTATCATTTTTGTTATGTGTTGATGTCTGAGCTGAAGTTAGCAAGAATTGGGGAACTATTGATAATAAAATGATTATAAATATGTTATGGTAGCCGAATTACCGACAAGCAAAGTTTAATGTTTTCAATGAAGAGTTGTTTCCCTTGTATCTACATTGTATATTAACTATGTGCTGATATACAATGTACGTTCTAGATTTCAATTCATTTCAACAAGTCAGTCAAATACAGACAATTGTTTTGGATGAAATCATATGTACTGTTCTGAGAATTTTTTGACTGTACTGTGTTTGCATTCAATGATTAATTCAATAAAAAAATCAGATCCAAGTGTAAACCGTTTTCATTCAGGACAGATAGATAACATAATAGGTTTCAATACCTGATGTAAGTTGTATGTTGACATCCCATATGTTGTTACATCTTTTGTCTGTGCGAACATTATTGTCGTGCTGACGGCATGTATTTATTTGAACATGGAATCAGAAACAAATTAGACGCTATATTGAGGTACACTTTATAACATACAAGTGAGTTTGTTGTTATATATGAAATAGTTGGGACATTTTTGGTTGGGATGGAGGCATTACATGTATTAGCTTATCCAAATAGGAGTATGATTAGGTTGTAGTTATACATGTATACATGTTATCAGCAGGATGTATAGCAGACTAGGATGAGTGGTTTTGAATGACCTCTACAGTGTTATCCACTAATACAATAGTACCATGATTTAGAACAAACCAAATAACTTGTTTTTTTTTCAGTAAAAAGTGTACTTTGCGATATATTTTTCCATAAGTATTTAGTTATTTTTTTTTAATCGAAAGGAATAGATTTGACTTTAGGAAAGGTCGACATTTTTCTACATGTTACAAAAAGTATTTTATATGATGTTCTATCCCTTTATAATTAAACAGTAGGCCTACGAATGTGTCATATGATTTTTAGTAGTTGGGAACTTTGAAAAAGCACGCGAGTTTGAGGGGTTCATTGGAAACTATCATTGAGGTTAAGAGATTTAAATGCAAACTTCAGTGTCATACATTTCATAAAAGACACATCTTAACCCCTTGAATATCGAGGATTTAACATGTCACGCTTCCAGAAAGAATAAAAGATTTTGATTTAAACCATTCATCATAAAATATCACATTATTAACGTCACTTCGCTTCGATGACAAAGTTATCCCCCTTAGACCAGTCACTTTCAAATCGTTACGCAGCTTTCCAACACAGACTCTTTCAAACACGCAAATGTTGTAGTACGTGACGTAGCATTTAAAATAAAATTGCTGCAACAAAAGACAGGATACAGATTTTGGAATTCAAATGCAAATATTTCGGCATGTAAACCTTGTACAATGTCCACGTGTGGCGAAAAATCATCTAATTTAGTTAGTATGTATTCGGATAAGTTGTTGTGACGTCGCTTAGGTCCTTTATAAAAAAATAATATTGTCATTTTTCAATACTTATTTAATCATTATTATCTGGTGGAAACAAGGAGAAACACTATATGTATTGTTTATGTGTTTGTTAAATTATTACAATGCATGTACATTACCGAAGTTACATGGCTTTCCTCGTGCATTTTTATTTGTTGAAATTGAAATAAGAGATGTAACTATCATTAATTAATTTTATACAACCCGTTAACATTACAGGGAGTAACAACACTGGTGAATTTTCATCGTCATGGTCCATACACTCGAAGTTTAGATGTATATGAATATTGACATACACATATGCTCGACATTCTTTCAAAATCGAATTGTAAATTCAGGGAATGGATGGTGTTCCTGGATTCATGCACCTCCCATTCTGTATTATAAACAACTGTTTAGGGCAATTTTGATATTTCTCCTAATTCACGAAATAGTTGTGTGATGCAATTTTATCCATTATTCGCTGACGGTATCTAATAATCGAGAGGTGTGTTGAACTGTGTCTATGGATTAAGTGGGATGACTTTAGTTAGTTACGTGTGATGTTTTGTAATATCAGGAAGTTATGATGGTCGTTATCTGTCCCTGATCATATATGACTTTTTATATCTCTCTAATGTAAAATGATATAGATGTACTTCCTTATCCCAATTAACATGTACGTACAATGTAAATCTATACAATATATATATTTATATAAATTTGGAGATTAAAAAATATCTTTGGTTATAACTTTCCAATTAACTTGAAGAATTGAAAAGAATTAGAATCTACACTTTATTTAACAGTAGTGACATAGCAGATGAATTTCATTTATAGTTCAACGTGAAAGATATGCGGAATTAAGGAGATTTTTCAATCAGAAATATTATTGTAATATATCCAGTATGTTTGAATTTTTCCAACGTATGAAATCCGTAAACAGGAAAGAATGATCAGATTTATCATTATTTGTCAGAATGAGTAACAGGAAATGAAAGAATTAAATTGTACGTGGGTAGTATGTTGAATTCTCTCTACACTATACTAATTGATGGTGTTTGTGTTGGATAAGAAAGTTTGTGTTCAATTGTTGTTCATACATGTATATGTTATGTCATTCTGAACTGATGAGCTTCAAGGCAGAAGGTAACGAGGAATTGAATTAAATTGAGGTGATGGCAAATGCTGGTCGTTATAAGTAGGACTGTCCTAATTCAGTAAGATTGTTTGGTGTTGTACCATTTATTTATCACGAGGCAGAACGGGGTGGGGTTTTCAGGTTTGGCACATCACAGATATTGTTTTTGTGCTTCAGGTGAATTTCATAAAGAAACAAGGCTTTGGAGGAGTGATGATTTGGTCTCTGGACTTAGACGATTTCTCCGGACACTGTTCAAATGAGAAATACCCACTACTGCGGGCCATCAACAAGGCCCTAGGGATCACCATTCCACCCAGAGGAAAAAGGTTCGTAGCTTGTTAATAAGGCCTTGGAGGGAGGGGGAGGGGCGCCCTTGCGCACAGTGTACAAAGATACATAACCTGTTAATAAGGCTCCTTAAATGGGATGCTGTCACCTGTCTCTGAATTCCTTGAGGTTACCCTTCCATCCAGAGCACATAGATACATGACCAGTCAAGGCCTTAGGGAGTCGCACATTCATCATTAGTAAAAATATACTACCTGTCATTTTGGCACTTGGGTGGCCTTTCACCCTTAGTAAAAAGATTCATGCCTGTCAGTAAGGTCCTATGGGTCGCCCTCCCACCTAGATCAGACACACTATATTTCTATATATGCCTTTTTTGTTCCGACTCTTACAGACAAAAGTTGATCCACGTTCAGACTGCAAACAGCGGCAGAGCTCAGGCAAATGTCATCAGGCCGCCAGACTTGCCCAAATCAAGTGAGTTATCTTGTCAATACAATCAATTACTACGTCAGAGCCTGAATGTTTTATAGTAATGAGCGAAATATAAACTACACTTCAGCTTCAGGTTTAAAATGCTAAAATCAAGGGTAAAATTAGTACAGAAGATCAACAATTACCAGACTGAAGAGTTTTTTTTTCATATCTAAAAGAATATTTAATAGCTATAGCCGTTCTCTCTTTCACGACGATTGTCTGTAACGATGAACACAAACAAATTGTTTCAGTTATAGCACACTAAGGGTTGATACTTGATAGGGGCGTGGTTAAAAAAATTCAGCATTTGGAGGATTATCATGTCGTCATTCGGTAATTTTTCATATAAGTTGTTAGTCTGTCGAAGTCGTATCCCGAGGAATTTTTATGGCACCTACAAGAGCCTTTGACAGTTTGGCGTAGGCCAAGCATCCGTTCGCCGAAATGTCTAACAAGTGGTGTAGGAGCCAGAGGAAACACGGGCCACTAATGCCGATGAGACTTTGTGCTCAAGTGATACAACTTATTCCATTGTGTTAAGCCTAAATGTCTAATATTTATCATTTTGATATAGGTGCCATTGGAACCAATACGCCCAAAAGTTCTGTATGTGACGGTGTACCCGACACTTCTTTCGTTCCTCATGAAAACTCATGTAAGAAATTCTTTCGTTGCCTCGGTGGAGTGAAACTCGAGTTGAGCTGCTACGGGAATCTAGAATTCAACAAAGTGATAAGTAGATGTGACTGGCCAGAGGAGGCAAATTGTTCCATAAAGAAAAAACCCACCACTTCAGCAACCGTGGAGAAGACGGTCGCCAAAACTACAAAGTTGGTTGTACCGACAAAGCAAAAGATTGCTTGGGATCCACCATCACAAACAGAGTTCCCTCCCGCGCCACCTACCGACCTTCGACAGATGCAAAGTGTACAGGAACTGGAGCGCCAGCTCACCCAACCTATACTCACTCTGGAACCCCAGCAACAAGTTACCAACCTTTGGGACACATCTTCAAGCCAACCGCAATGGAACCCTCCCCAGCCGGCTAATCCATCGTCGTGGGACATAGCTAACAGGGCCGGGGTCCAAGAAATGACCCCTACACCTGACCTTCCACAGCCAAGCATGTTTCGGGAAACGGGGCTGCCAAATCCTCCCCCGGACATGCTCAGTGCAAGACAGGAACAAGGACAGCCGTCACTAGAAACAAACGTAGCACCTGTCACTGCCATGGAATTGGCTCAACTCTTCGAAGGAGCAACACAGCTTTTAAACAGTGAGTAAATAACAGCGGTTCGTCTGAGATACTTCTCTATATATGGGAAAGATACTGCCTTTTTTTCCAAAAATACATACTAAGGTTAAAAAACGTATGCAGTATGATTGTTATTTTCAAAATGCATTGAGCCGCATATTTTGTGTTATTCGGAAATATTTTCATTGATGGAATGCTAACTTGAAAATTGTATATTTCATTAATTAAGCAGTAAATTGGACAACAATTGTAATTGTTTGCCGCAATGTAGTGACTTTTAATTGATCTCGAAATTTCATCTTTAACGCTTGCTTTGATTCCAGACGGGTTTCCGTTGGTTTTTTGTCAATATTTCATTATCTATATATAGAGATCCAGTACCACGACAGCTGTAATATTTATATCGATAGGGAAAGAAAATAGTCAGGTACTAGAGTGATAATTTACCTAATACTGTGTCATAGTATTTAGTTGGGTTTTTTTTGGAGTCTTAGATGATCCATGGACCACTTCAACAACAGAAATACCTGTCAACAGGGGGTTAAATTTACACAGTGATCCTTAAAAAGTACAAGATAAACCGGTCTATGTTTTAGACGACACAATTAAGTAATGTGACGCTTGTTACATGCCCTTGGGAGAGGTTTCTGTGTCCCATCAATAAGTAGAGGTACACAAGAACGCTAGCAAAAGATCAGATGGCAAATTACAACGGGGACCCGTCTTCACTTACTACATACATCAAAAATATTCATCTCATCTGTGTGAAATGTACATCTTACATAAAAACATGAGTTGTTTCCCTTCATCAGGTATAGGAACCAGTCGAAGCATTTCGATAAAAGTTTGTACAGAAACAATTTGTGAGAACAGAGTGTAAGTCATGTCGATGGTGACAGCTGCCATGTTGTACCAGTGTCACGTGATTTTTGCCTTGTTTGTATTTACCGCGCTGCTTCTACTAATATCATGTGATAACCTGCTTCTGTTGATGTCATTCTAGGAGGAAGTGACGTCATGTGACCACCGCATCGTATACACATCACTGTACTATTCTGTCTTGCTTTCAGTACCACTGCTTGCTTTTCCGTCACATTTTGATAACAGTCATTTTACGAGTACTGGCTTGTTTGCGTTGAAGCTTTCTATTCTGTTTTTACTCACTTCTGTGTATCATCTCACCGGCGTTTTTTCAACACGCCATCCCATGTACAATATAACTATCCCTACAAAAATACATATTCCTGTCAACCGTGTAGTCATGCTTCAAGTCACGTTATCTCCCAGTCAACCAATTATCAATCTTCTTAGCCGTCACTAAACCCCGCCACCCATATAACCATTCTACCCCTCACCAAATATCCCCTACTCCCATACAGCCATTCTACCCGTCACCAAACCTCCCCGTCACCAAACATCCCCGACACCTATACAGCCATTCCACCCCTCACCAAACATCCCCGACATCCATACAGCTATTCTACCTGTCACTTAACCTCCCCGTCACCCATACAGCTATTCAACCTGTCACCATACATCCTCGACACCCATATAGCCATTCCACCCCTCACCAAACATCCCCGACTCCCATACAGCCATTCTACCTGTCACTTAATCTCCCCGTCACCCATACAGCTATTCTACCTGTCACCATACATCCTCGACACTAATACAGCCATTCTACCCGTCACTTAACCTCCCCGACACCCATACTGCCATTCTACTGGTCACTTAACCCCCCGTTACCCATACAGCCATTTTACCAGTCACAAAACCTCCCCGTCAACCATATAACCTTCCTACCATTTACCTTACCTCCCCGTCAACCATAATACATTTGTATCAGTTACCTAAACTCCTCGTCAACAACATCACTCTACCAGTTACCTTATCTTCTATGCAACTTTTCTACACCATGATCGGCTGTAAAGCTTACCGATATACCTACTGACACTGTGAAACGAAACACTGCCACGCAACCTCTCCATCTTCAACACATGTATACTTTTCTTTGTTTTTGACACCGTTTCCAATACTAGATGTACAGGCAAAGCAAAATTTATAATCATTTTCTTTTTATTTGCTATTTAATCGACAATTGCACTTGTTAAGTTAAAATAAACGCATCAGTCACATTTACATTCGAAATGTGTAAGACTGACTACGACTTTACAAGCGCTCACTGTGATAGCCCCTTTGTTGGCCTCTTATACAGCAGCAATCTAATTATCATTGGGGAAAACGGTTTAACGGTGACAACGGGTTCAGATGATGACTTTTTTTACGTCATACCATTCCTGCAAATTATAAGCCTAGTCACCCCATTGTTGGCCCCTTTAACTTTTATGCACAAATTCGTTTTAAATGGTCTAATGAGCCTTTGATTCCGCTTCTTTCTCGATATTGTTTCCGGAATCCGAAAATTGCATACGGTGAAACTTGCCGTTTTTTGAAGACTACAACGCAGTGATACAATCCAAAGTCATCAAAAATGGTGATAGCATGCCATTTTGTAACATGACGACAAAGATTATACAGCACTTGTCGCTTCAGTTTTGCTATCCTCATAGAAACCTCGAAAAGCAACGTCACGAGAATGTATACGAAACTGGACCATGTGTATTAATTGACCGGTGAAAATGTGTCCGGTCCCGTTTATTTAAATAACGCACCCATTCTCTGTTTTCCTGCTATACCATTTTAGTATTTAAAAATCCAAGATGGCGGATATGCAAATTAAGTGAGCGAGCTTATACTGTTGCGTATGGAACACTTCTCATCATGGAGTCAGTTCCTATCTCCCCTTCAGTCACAAACCCTTACATTCCCTCCTCACACACACCCTACAATACCCCTTATTCCCCAACCACTCGGCCACACACCACAACATGCCCTAACCCCCCCACCCCCCACCCCCCATTTAAATGTCCCTACATTCTCACTCACATACCATTAACTGTCCTATACCTCCCCAACCACCCACCCACACACAATAACCCCACCCACAACACGTGTGCCCTAACATCCGACATCCTTACATGTCCCAGTCCCTAAACTCCAGACTTTATTTACGACCATGACTAACACCCAAGGGTTACGTCACCTGCTTGTGTGTGTTAAGACTCATGCTCACTTTGGTTATAAATGAAGAAGAGTTGTCTATATACTCGGATGTGTCATTGGAATAGCCATAGGAAAATTATAACAAACATGGAAACAAGCATCGTCGTAGCAGGAAATATAAGTAATGCTTATTGTATAAATATAATGTATACCGTGGCGCTCATCTGATTAAGATTTCATGTTGACAATGATATTGAAATGTTCCACATAAAAGTAAAACGTTGATTGAAATGATATCTATTTGTAATAAGACCTTGATGTTTTGTCAGATTTTGGAGGAACTAGCGCAGGAGGGTTCTGTCGGAGCAGAGTCGATGGCATCTACAGAGACCCACATTCGTGTGAGAAGTTTATCGAGTGTTCGAACGGCATCATGTACCGCACGAGCTGTGGACCCGGTCGTGCGTTCCATCCCCAATTCCTCATTTGTGACTATTCCTTTAACGTAGAGGGGTGTGCTTAGTGGCTAAACGGTCACACCGCTTACAGCAATGCTTCAAAATTGTGTCTCAGATTGATTTTATGTACAGGCTTATGAGCTGTCATGTGCGCTATCGTAGATTAATTAGCAGACCATTGGAAATACTGGACTATTGTTTTATTTTAGAATCGTTTCTGTTGTAATAGTTGAAGTGATTATCAGGCAAAGAGATATGGCGCACTAATCCTACCAAGATTCGACGTCCCTTTGAATTTAAGGAACGACAACTCCATGTAGATATTGTTGGCGCCAATTTCAAGAAGTCCCTAGAGGCATTTACACGGGTAAAATGCATGGTGACTACATTTACAATAAACAGAATAATACACGTGCAAATGCATTAACTGTGATATGAGTACCTATGTTAAGAAAATATCTGCGTCAGAACAACAGATATAACATCTTGTATTGTTTTGTCGTTTTTTATTGTCTTTTATTATTATTAATTTCATACCGTGTAAACCTATCGGGCACATGATGCTTTACAAATACAAAACATTCCGAATATCTAATAATGGCACTTTGAAAATGTGAAAATTGTGTACACCCGATAATGGTCAATGTTCTTAGTGTTGAAAGGTGGAAGATGCTATTATTCGGGTTCTACCCTTAAGTCATAGGAATGCAACACAGTTTCGCAATCCGGAATTTTAGTATCGGGATATTTGTGTATACTTCTACCCTTAAGTCATAGGAATGCAACACAGTTTCGCAATCCGGAATTTTAGTATCGGGATATTTGTGTATACGGTACGATAATGGCCGAGTCTATGTAGATAACATATCCAGTATCGTGTCTTGATAGCTTTTTAGAGTAAAGGCCTAAAACTGCTTATGCCTTGTTTTGAAATCGAGTTTGAATTCAGGTTTTACTCGATAGTTAGGTCAGTTTTGTCCAAAGTAGCAATTGTGGTGATTTATACGGATTTAATCATTTGAATGGTGCGGTGCGCCATACCTCTTTGTATACTTCGTTGTGAAAACGGGAATGATCTCGCGGAGAGTAGGTCTGTCTGTTCTAGATTGTTTCAGCATTATAAATAGGTACACTCAATGGTCGCTATATCTATCTATCGTTGCACAATACAATTCCGTGGTTGTATATGTACTATACGTAAATATTGTTTGAAATAATAAAAAGGATATAAAAACCGGTATGTTAACCTTTGTTGTCTGTATTGAGGAGTCTTGGGAGGAAACAAATATTGAGGAGGTCAGGGAGGAAACAAATATTGAGGAGGTCAAGGAGGAAACAAATATTGAGGAGTTTTGGGAGGAAACAAATATTGAGGAGGCCAGGGAGAAAACAAATATTGAGGTCAGGGAGGAAACAAATATTGAGGAGTGTTGGTAGGAAACAAATATTGAGGTCAGGGAGGAAACAAATATTGAGGTGGTCAGGGAGGAAACAAATATTGAGGAGGTCAAGGAGGAAGCAAATATTGGCGAGTCTTGGGAGGAAACAAATATTGAGGAGTTTTGGGAGGAAACAAATATTGAGGAGGTCAAGGAGGAAACAAATATTGGCGAGTCTTGGGAGGAAACAAATATTGAGGAGTTTTGGGAGGAAACAAATATTGAGGAGGTCAAGGAGGAAACAAATATTGGCGAGTCTTGAGAGGAAACAAATATTGAGGAGGTCAGGGAGGAAACAAATATTGAGGAGTCTTGGGAAGAAACAAATAATGATGAGGTCAGGGAGGAAACAAATATTGAGGTCAGTGAGGGAATAAATATTGAGGAGGTCAGGGAGGAAACAAATATTGAGGAGTGTTTGGAAGAAACAAATATTGAGGAGGTCAGGGAGGAAACAAATATTGAGGAGTCTTGGGAGGAAACAAATATTAAGGAGTTTTGGGAGGAAATAAATATTGAGGAGTGTTGGGAGGAAACAAATATTGAGGAGGTCAGGGAGTAAACAAATATTGAGGAGTGTTGGGAGGAAACAAAGCATAGAAATACAAATGACAACGAAAAAATGTTTTGATTCGTCTCCAGTCTTTGCCCCCCAAACTCACAATCTACGGCATCAGATCTACTAGTTATCCAGTACGTAAATAGGTGTGTAATGCGTCGTAATTACAATAATATTTCACGCGGTTGATTGGAATGAATTAGCGTAAAATTACTTCCTCCCGCGGTAGTCCGCTAGGTGGCAATGTACAAGTTACCTGTGTTTATCAGGTGTCAAATCAGTTCAGTCAGCGCACCGGGCGAGGACAGGCGTAAAAAAAGTTTTTTCCTTAGATAATGCATTAAGTATATTGATTTGCATGTTTATTATGGAATGATGTGGGTATTTGCTCATAATTCATTAACGAAATTGTTGATAATAAAGTGCATCGCGCTGTGCGTTGTGGGCGGTCTGACTGTGCTGTTTATTACCACCTGGACGGTGGCTAGCGGGAGAACCGTTTATTATTACAGTGAGGAATTACCACGAACAGTCAATGACACGACAATAGATATATCCTTATGATATAATCTGTTGTGGAGACATTATCGCCATCGAGTTCTACAGGGGTGTATAATGCGTCCTTTCTTTCTGTAACCTCATACTAGAAATTGAAGAGTTTTCAAGGAAAATTTGTATTTCGCTTTTAAATATCTTCAAAAGCTCGGATTTAATATTGATATAGATTAAATTACTAAAAAAATTTTTTACAGCATGAATATTACATGATATACATCACTAGACTTTATTGTTTGTTGTAGAGAAGGTGTTCTCACTGTCATCCCTCATATGTCCAGCTTTTGTAAATATTAACTTTAAAATATATCATGAAGTTGACTTATAATCGTATTTATTTTGACTGAGACAGAGACAGGGGTACGAAATGTATTATTCTACGTAAACACTATTATACCTTGACTTATAAACAAATAACAAAACGCTAGCTTTGAGACAGGTACGTGTTAAGATCCCTGCTTAACAAAACATAATTGTATAAACAGGCTCATTTCATTTTCATTCTTAACACCCTTCGATCCTTCTACAACTTTATCATCCTACTCTAAATAAGTCGGTGACAAATACTAACACTGATCTCCGACTAGAAACATTTCACAAACTTATTCGTAGAAAATTAACTACAGTGTGATGTTGTATGCACTGGTCAGAATGTGTCCGACATTCTTCAAAGCTGGGATTAACAGACAAGGAAATTTATTGACAGATTTATAAACATTTTGAAATTTATGCAAGTATGGGGCCAATCATCCCTTCGTTTCACTAATTAGATAGAGAGCTGAGAATAGAGGTTAGAGTATCACCGTATCCATTCTCAGTCCATCAGCTGGCAAGCTTATCGGATAGTTAGTGTCAGAGTAAAACAACGGGGAGTAACTCAGGGAGACTGGTCAATAATTATTTTCTTCGGGATAGCGACATAAGTATCCCTTCTGCCCCATGCCTCTCTGTTGTTGGCCTATATCAGACTCCAAAATATCAAGAAAAAATACTTGTTTTTTAACTTTTAAGAAAACAAGCTTATTTTTAATCTAGGTATAAGACTCTTATCATAAAGCGTTTTCAAATACTTCTTTATGAACTCTGGTATCAATATCAAAATATACCCAACAAAGCTGAATCTCGTTCTAACTTCTACGGAATGGATGATAAAAACTAGGACATAGTTACAAACTCTTTTAATACCATTTAGATTCTATATGCTAAAATAAATTGTAAAATGTTTCCTTTCCATGAACTAATTGCACTTTGAATTGTTTATCCTCAAATTCTTACATGTGGTGTTGAGTTGTCACTCTCCATACCGCACACCATGGTATTATTGGAACTGTTGTCAACATCATGGTCAATCTCCATCAGTTCTGTTGCTTGGAAATGCTGTGACAGTATCTGGAGTGGAAAATAAATGATCAAAATCAAAATAAGAATGACTTTTAAAATTTCATATCATAATTCAAATTTGAGACAAATAGGTGTGACTGGTATATACTAGCTACATTGTACACTCTACTGGTATAATACCTTCACTTTAAATGTACATGTTGTATATTTGATTCTCTTCCCAGTATAGAAATTTGGGGCACCATTACACATATATGTAATATAGACCAATGAAACATTGACTAGAATTCTAGTTGTCTGAATTTTTAACAAAATTACGAAAATATCAATACGCACATCATTACTAAATTGTACATACCCTAGCATTTTCTCTCTTAATAAATGCCATTCTTTGTGTCTTTGACGGTGGTGGCGTCTCTGTAATATTAGACATCGGGCTTGGTTCTGTAGTGTGTATAGATGGAACAGCATCCGGAAGCAAGTCCCTTCTTCGGACTGACTGGCCTAAACTTTCCATGATCTTATACTTCGCCGGGTAACAGGACTCGTCGAAATGTTTCGAACAAATTACTGAATGTTTGGTGGCTCCGGCCCAGTTCTTCCTTTTCGATGTTACAAATGAAGTCCACTTTCAACAAACATCAGTATTCTTCAATGGAAAGAAATGGAGGGAAACTCCATCTTTGTTGGTGTTGCTGCAACCGAAAATAACACATCTTTTTCCTGAACGTCCGGCAGTCGGCGACGGGTCACCCATGGTCACAATAATTGACAGAAAAATCCACGAACGCTCACAGATATTTGACACCTAAGTAAAACATTCCATAGATGATGGCACTACTGTTACTTTACCATCAATTATAGCATAAATTAGTCGAATAACATTCAAGTAGGCCCAAAAAACGAAACTATATAACCTGACTTCTGCTAGAAAACTAATGACTTCCGGAGTGGGACAGATCGCGCGCTCACACCGGTGACGTCACTACTGAAGAGCTCTGTTAAAGTGCCGTTCGATGATCTCGTTCAGGTGTGTTTTTAGCGTATTCGACAATAACTTTGGAACGCGTCGATCGTTTTCGACGATTTTTGCGGTAAATGAACGAGCAAAGGCTATTTGATTTAATGGCACATATTTGACAAAGCATTCAGGTTCCTCTTTAACAGGCGATGTTGGCCGAATTCTGGCACTAAAGCATCATTACTGGCGAGTACTAAAATGACTTAACAATTGTATTATGCAGCTGAATTCGTTATTTGGCTCTATGGTATCTAATTATAAATGCAGTTGCTATATATTGAGGTACAATATTCAGAAGATATAGGCAACATGAGCGACGATGATTTAAAAGTCAACCCGACATTTTTTTTTTTAAATATTGACAACAGATATAAGTGTATAAAGCTGTTAAAGATAGAACCAGGTGAAAACGTGAGTAATACGAATTTATCACAATTCTGTTTATGTTACAAATAATATCTTTATTGCACGATACAAACGTGTAATGGATTATAACACCATTACTTGTCCAATATCAGCTGGTAAAATATTGAATAAAGAGTTTAACCAAGGACGTATCTGCCCTAGACATGGAATGAGGAGAATATGTACTTTACACTTTAAAGTTCGAGGAACCCAAGTTATTTACAAAATCAATAACATCAAGAGACAAATGTTATTGTATAAGAAATAAATAAATAAAAAACTTAAATCGGATCACCACTTATTTCTATATGAAATAAAAATGAGATATTTTGGAGGCACGACGGTGAAACTTTAATGAAACAACTGTAGCATCAGCATACATTTGTTGATCTATCGAGAGTCCATAGTGTAGTGAATATTCTTCGTCATTTCTTCTATTGTCCTTTCTGTAATCTTTATTTCTAATAAAAGATATAATTGTCTTCATCTCAGCTGATCAACCAACGACAGTTTACTTCTAATTCATTAATAATAACGAGTTCTTGATGATGTGCTTTAATTTCTGACGGATATTATCATCATAGTGTCATTTAATGTTGTGTTTTACTTCATTATACACACACATATGTAATTGATGTTTGTATCCTAATTAGCTAAAACTCATTTGATATCTTTTTCTGTCACGTTACCGTCATCAACTCTTAGTTATTACTTGTAACACAATTTACCATCAGTAATTATCTCGGGCTATTGCACCAGCCACTATAATATAATAGGCAGTACGTCTCATTTATTTATTTATCTAACAGGTTGAACGCCCACTATTTCGGCGTTTTAGAGGACAATATCAATTGTTTTATCTCTCATTGCACTAATATATATGGTATATAGACGTGAATATTGTTCAGTAATTTGATTTAATTGAACTGTGAAGTTTCGGATTTCGGTGTAAAACGATTACTTGTTTTCTCTGATGACTCGGGGACAATAAGATTATATATTAGTATTTATATCATACGTCACTGGATTGCGTCATTGTTTAGTTTACACTATATTTTATTCATCAATGAAGGCACAAAATAAACAGAGGTGAGAAGATATTTGACAACAAGCTTGTAGCTTATGTAAGTCATCTCCCGTAAATTGTCCAGCATACACATTACTAATGGGTTATACAAAGATAATGATAGATTATAACACTAGAGAAAATAAGGGAGTAGTTTTGTCTAGATGTATTGATATATACGGTATAAATATACAATGTTTCCCATAGAAAAAAAAAGCAACGGTAATACGCCACACTAATTTGATTTCAATCAAAACGGTTGCTAGGAACTATAAATTAAGCATATTCATAAAAATGACTTGTCATTTCATTTAA